TCACGTTGTAGAATTTAGAAAAATGAATAATAATGCATTTTCAGAGTATTAGTTTTTCTATTGTTTGAGACTTTTGTCATAGCTGTGCAGGAATGCTAATGATGCCATGTCAAAGGGGACGGTAGAGAGGGTATTTAAATTTCTAATTTATTGATTCACTAATTGATGACTTTAAATTTTGTAATGATTCCCGCTTTTTTCGTTATATTTATACCTGCATGCGTTATACTCATTTATTATGTGTAGTAATAAGAAATACTTGATGCTAATCAATGCTACATAAAGTGACTTATTTGCTCTGATTAGTAAATAAATAAAAGTAATAAATTATTGTGGGGGAAAAATTAGTTTCGGTTAAAATTAATTAGCTCGTAGTTTAAAGTTTTAGTACATTTTATTTTAATTTGTCGTATTTCATATAAAATGGTTTTTGTATGCTTGAAAAAAGCTTTCTTCGTCCCATATGTATCATATGACCGTAAAAAAAAATAAGATTTTCAATTTTTTTGAACAATACAAGCACCAAACTTCTTTTGTGCTCGTATTTAAAAAATTGTTCATTTTTAAAAAAATAAGTTTCTTTAAAAAGTCGTTTTAATTTTTTTTTCTTTTTCCAATGTGAAAAAATTATACTTGATTAAGTTAAAAAGCTTAAGAGTTTTACCCTTTTTTGTTGCTGGTATTTATGTATTTTTAAATAAATCATGCTTTTCATTGACGTTTCGCATGAATCGACTATATATTGGAAATGATTATGTGGCGATGGTTATATTGTAATTCTCCAATTAGTACTAATGTGAAATACGTAATACGGGGCTATATGCTTGCATTTTATTACTTTCTAAAACTGTAAGTAAAAAAAAGAAAAGAAAAAAAAAAGAAGAAAGATATCAAGCGAAAATAAAAATACCCTATTTTATTAAAACTTTTTTAAATAAATAGTTTTACATTTATATTCCACTTTTACTATTATAGTTATTTTATTTATATTCTACTATTTACAACGTCATTTATACATTTATTTTTATTTGACGCAAATACATAAATGTTTCAAATCATGCACAAAACTCTGAAAGACACACTAACAAATTAATAAAACTTAAATCATTCTATTTTTCCTCGTTTTTCGTGCGTTCTTCCTTGTGTCTTTATGCTATTAGCTTGAGAAAAACACATTTATTAGTAATTCCTCCCATCGAAATAAAGATTAGATAACTCTATTCAGTATCATTTGGCAACAAGCTATTGGTCGAGGCCAACTTAATTACCACAGTCAAGAGATTTTCTCCGAAATTTATCACTCTCGAAGGGCCGTAAGAAATCTATTTCCACAGTATCTATCCTAAAACTACACAGAGACAGTATTCATGTAACTTTAATCTGTTCTAAATATACTAACATGGGTATCTTTGCACCTATATTAGCATATTTGCTGTCTTTTAAAACTACACCTATTACCATAACATCTGCAGTACCTATTACTAAATTTTTATGTTTCTCTCAAACGAAGTACTACCATTTCTCAGTTAATTTTGCTTTTTAGTACACAACTTTTAAAAAAAAAAATTCGTTTAGTACCTAGTACCAAAATTAATTAAGCATCATTGGCGTTAATTATAGTATGGCGATCTCTTACGTTTCTCTTAAGCAAATTAATGCCATCACCACGTTGATTTTCATTTCTTTTCAGTTATTTAATTTCGAATACTGTTTCTTTTAAATTATTTAGTTTTATAGAAACGCATTTTAATTTAAAATCATATCTAAATGAAATTTTTAAAAAAAAACTTGGCTACAGATAACTTCAGGAATACTAACTTGGTGACGTAGTCCACGAATGCTACCTCGTTAATTATTCATTGAATTTATCTGACATAGCAAATAAAAGATTAATAGAGATTAAAGTACGTCCAATAATTTTTTTTATCAAATGGAGCTATAATTAAGCTAGCAAATATCACTGATGTTATCATTAAAACATTTGAAAAATTGAATCTTCTGTAGTTAAATTTAGAACAATGACTAACGCTTAACCAATCAGAAAATTCTATTTCGTTTTTCCCTCATCCCGCTCGAGCTGTTCGTTGTCGAATGTTCTAACGTCAACAGTTATCTAGTTACCTTCCTCGTGTTTCGAACTATGAAAAATTTCATTGCTTTCGGTCAGTCTATAAAGGACACACAGAAAGACAGACAGGCATTCATTTATATGTATATATATAGAAGATAGACAAGTTTTCAACTCCTATTTAACCCCCCTTAGAGTTGGAATATCGAAAAAAATAAAAAGGTAAATAATCAATAACTCACTACTGAACAACACAACAGAATGATGCCCTTAACTGAAAGAAATGTACCACAACATTAAATAAAGCTAAGATATTTTGCGTTCATTTATAAATACTTTTTACCCTTCTCGGTGGCTTTACGTTATTAGATGAAATAAAACGCGTTTTTAATAATTTATCCCATTAAAATAAAGATTAACTGTATTTAATATCATTTGGCATGATGCTCATGCTTGAGGCCAACTCACGATAGTGAAAATTTACCAAAATGCCGCTATTTTCTTCTGTTTTTATCCATTTCAAAGGGGCCGTATGATGCAGTTGTAATAGGTACCAAATAAACTAAACTAATATCTTGTGCCTATATTAGTATATTTAGTACCTATTAAAACTGGATCAATTACTATAATACCAGTGGTGCCTGTAACCAAAATTAGTTAAGCATAATTGGCGTCAAAAATATTATAGCGATTTTTTACGTTTGTCTTAAATGGATCAGTAAAATTTTTCCATGAATTTTTATTTTATACTTCATAGCTAAACTTTTTTTTCAATTAATACCAATTATCAAAATTAATTCAGCATCATTTGTGAGAAAAAATAGTATGTTTTTTTTATTTTCTTATTTTTCTCCTAAACAAATCAGTACAAGTGATGGTGATTAACGAGAGCAGCTGCAGAGCTTCCTTAGTTGTATTAGTTGAAAAAATGTTCCATGAAAATAAGAATTAACTAATTTTTTTGGCGGTCTTAAAAACATAAAAGGAATTTTGAAGTGACATGTGATAAGATCAATGATGAAAGGATAGCGAAATGTACAGTGTGCGAAACTTTTTGATGAAATGATTCGATTTTACTTACAAAAATACATTCTTAATTATTCATGGGCATAATCTCAAATATTTGTGCAGACGATATTTAAAATTAAGAACTCAGACACAAAAACGTACTTTTTCTGAATTAACACTCCTTTTTTTCTACAAATATCTATTTTTGATCCTCAAAATATGGGGGAGGGACTAGCTGCAATCAGAAAAATCTAGTCTCAAATGTTTATGTAGGAGAAGGCTTGTACCCGTTATTGATGTTAATTTCACTTATTGGGTATTTCATCTTATTTCTGGAATTAATGATGTGAATCAACAATTTTTGCACATAATTTTATAACTCCTTTAGCTAATGATAATTCTATGAAAACAGAAGTTTTCTTATTTTTAATTAATTATTTTTACAAGTGGCAAAAAAGTTTTTGAATTATTAAGGTTTGTAAAATTTTACATTATTCTTAACTATTTAATTTTAATTGACAAAATACAATTTTAAATGACAATCCAATTCTAAATTTAATTTTAAACGAAAAGTTATAACTGAGTCATTAAATAGTTCCTAAAAAAATAAAATTAAAAAAAAAAAGACTTTTTTTAATCCCCAAATTTAAAGTTCAAAGTTATGACAAAATCTAAAGTAATATCTGAATCAATTGAAATTAAAAAGGAAAAAAGAAAAAAACACTATTTAGCGTAAAAAAAAGAAATTGACTTTATCGGGATCAAACTTTTAATTGCTCTCTTGCCTAAACAACTTGGACCATGTAATCCAGATTGCAGCATTCCCGAGAGTCCCATATCCGTCCAAAACAAAAAGAGGGGAAAAACGGTATGTTTATTCAGAGAAAGCGTGTTTTTGCGTCTGATTTCAAAGTCTATCCGTCTGCGTATAATAATTAGTAAATTTAAGTTAGCACCTGAAACCTTTAAAATTGACAATCCGACAACTAGATCAAAATTAATTAACTTCCGTTTTTCATTTTGTGCACTGTATATTTCCATTTGGTATAATTTTTTGTATAAGGAAAACGTTCAAGGCCTAGTAAGCCTGTAGATAATTAGGTCCTGTTATAGCGCAAAATTAACGATTGCTACTTACCACAGGACTATTAAATGCAACAAAAATGTTTAAAAAAGTATCTCATCTGACGAATGGATCATTCCTTGACATTTAAGATCTTCACTTACAAACCAATGTGAGCTAGAGTTATAGAGGTAGGCCTAAGATCAGATAGCATGACTGTGTTGAAGAAAATTTTAAAATCCTGAGAATTACTAACTGAAGAACAATCGCAAAGAAAACAATAGAATGGAGGAAAGTTCTAGGGAAGGCTTTGGCCTACAAAGAGCTGTGTCACGCCAACAGAAGAAGATTGAAAAAATTGCTTGCATATCGCCCCTTTTTTCGTTGAAATCACCCCATGTACATTTTATTATAATTTTTTTTAATAAATATGAAATTAATATGAATATTTTACAATATTAGAAAACTATTTCACACTTATTTCTTAAAATGATTCTTCATTTTATAAATAAATTTTGTAATGTTAACCAAATTTTGAGAAATGCCTCAAAATAAAAATAAATATTAGTAGTTTCTTCAATCGCTTAAAATGTTCACTTTTTTTTGCAAAAGTAGACAAAATTTTAAAAAATTAGCCATTGTCAAAGCACTGTCCAGAAGCAAAATTGTATAATTTTGCTCTATAAGTCCAGATTGTACCAGCCTATGACTGACTAGAGATCACTTATGGACCTATTGATACTCAAACATTTATCTTTGTCTTTCATTGAAATACTTGCACCCTCATGTTATTTATTTATTTATTTTTTCCCATCACCTTTTCCCATTCGGGTCATTTCTCAAGATATCACCTGTGACTAACTATCAGATAAATTGGCCGAGAAGTTACTGGACTAGATAGATGATACTGTTATCTCCCCACTCATAGTCGATAACAGAAAATATTTTGTGGAGAAATCCTGGCTATTGTTAATGTTAGTTGACCTCAACCTCTCGAAAAGAAACATTCCACACAGGTTTGTAAATGTTTGAATAAGTATTATTTTAAATTACAGTTGCTACTATTCTATTGACTCAAATATGAAGCTGAAAAAACTTTTCCAATTAAATAACAGTTCGTGAAAAGCAATTGTGATATATATTTTATCGATGTAGTCTTTCGGCCTAAAATTTTGTAGTTAATACGGCCCGTTTAATACTGGTGCGTAAAGAGTTAAAGAGCAAATATTTATAAATTATTTTAAAAAATGGCAGTCCAAAGACAAATGAAAAAATACTTACCTATGTTTTATTCAAAATGTGTTCGACCGATTTGGAAGTTGACTAAAATATCTAATAAATTGGCGGAGTAGTTTTGAATTAATTGCTTTAATTAATTTAATTAATTTTCTAATACTTTTTAATTTACACTCACACTTAAAATAGTTTTCAAACATTTGTTGTTTTGTTTAAAAGAGTTTGACAAAAAATAAGATAATTTAAGAGCAATAGAAAGTTTAATTTTAAGCTGTCAGACAAGTAAAATGGCAAAATATTAAATTCAAGTAGAGATATGATTTTTTAATAAATTTTTCAAAGTTAAGTCTTAAACGACACATTAAAAGTCATAATTTTAAGCACGTATACATAAAGTAAATATAAGAGAAAGATTTTCAAAACTGAGAACAATAAGTAGATTTTTATTTGATTTCATTAATTGGAATAAAATTTAAAACAATGGAAATGTTTACAATTTTGTATTTTACGAAAAATCCTCAAATATTACCAATGATTTTTTATCGATGTCAGTGATGTTACCATATAAATATTTTGTACAAAAAAAGTAATGCTGCTGTACACTAATTAATTCTACCCTTTATAAATTTCCATACAACACGATATGCTCATATTTATTCGACTAAGTCGTAAATATCTAGCCTTTTTTGAATAATTCATAATCTAATCTTGGAATATGGTAATAATTAAATTACTTTAACTAGCGCATAAATAATTATTCTATTCATAATTTTTCCCCATCATGTTATGGTGCTTACAATTAGTTTTTTTTTTTTTTTTTTTTAAAAAAGAACTGTTTAAGATATTTCTCTATAAAAACTTCTATGTTTTTTTTTTATTTATTTATTTTTTTTTTGATTTTTTGCGATTGCAAATTGAGTGATAAAAGAATTTTTACTATGAAAATAATCACTTGTTTGAAAGAGAGTGAAAACGATTTAAATTTTGCAAATTCTGAGGTCAATGTTCGATAGCTATTTTAATTGAGGAGGAAAAAAATTATTTAGACTATTCAGACGTCAAAAAAAGCAAAAGAAAAAAAAAGCAAAAAAAAAAAAAAAAGCTCTATATAGTGAATTAGAAGGAAAATGGTTGCGATAAAAACTTGTCACCATAATAATAGTCTCTCAAATAAAATATTTAAGCGTTTAACATTCAAATCAGGCAACAAGGAATTGAGAAAACATTATTAATTAAAAGCTAAAAAAGTGAATTATCATTTAAGGACTTTTTCTCAACAAAAAAAAAGTAATTAAACTTTCATAATAAACTAAGTAAGGAGTGGTGAATTAGTGTTAACAGTGATTGTACACTGTGAAAAAAAATATGTATACGAATTTTTTAAAAATCAATTTCTCAGTAAATATTCGACCGATGCGCTCAAATTTTGAATTTTACCCTGTAAAATTGCATTCTTTAAAATTATGCAAGAAATTTTTTACTTAACAATTCAAAATGTTTTCAACTGTAATTAAATAAAATAATAAAAAATGTAAAATATTTACTAAAAGTTTTTATTTTTTGCATGGAATTAACTTTAGATAAACGAATTTTGAAATCATGAGCAAAATTTTTTAAATTCGCTTAAAAAAAAAATCGAGATATGGCCAAATACGCTAAAAATGAAATTAACATTAAGGGGTCCAAACGTTGAATGAACCGCTCTCCTGACCAAACTATCAGGACTATAATGAAGCTACCCTTTATATTTTGGAGGTCAAAAATCCGAAATCATCAAAGAAAAGGTATGTTTATTCAGAGGAAGTACGTTTTTGTGTTTGATTTCGTAACTTAAAATATCGTCTTAATTAGCATATTTGAGGTAACCCCCTCAAACCATTACGATTGAGTCCCAGTATTTGAAAATCTGATCATTATATCAAAATTATTTAGGGTGTTTCGCTTATTTTTTTGGGCACTGTACAGTTGATTGTGAAACAAAATCGTTTTTTCCCCCTTTAAAAAAACAATGTATCATTACAATCCTGATGAAATAATAAGCCATATTTTGAATAGTTTCTGCCTGTTAATATGAATTACTTTGTTTTTTGTTACAATTTTTGAACCTGTTAACTCTGGTTAAATTATTTCTTACTTTTATGTCTCCATTGATGACGTGAATGGGGATGCCCACTCTGAAAGATCGTGGTAGTAAAATAAATAAACAAATAACCGGTTTCTTATTATGTTAAGTAGATCTGGCATCGCCTTGTTAAGCTGCGCATAGAAGTTGCCCATCGTCGCAGAGCAAATGAACAGCGGCACATGTGTTTTAAAAATCTCAAGACGTGACAGCTAAAACCCTACGCCGTGCGTATTATAAATTATTTTGTTTATAAATGTGTGTGGAATATTTAAATTTTTTTAAACTTTAATAGTTTTTTCATCAAAGTTATTGATTATAACTCAAGCATTTTATTTCGACTCACCTGTTTCTGTGTCTGAACGATTTTCAACCACATAATTTTCTATTAAATTTTAATTAAATACGTAGAAAGTAACGAAAAATTTAACAAAATATTAAATAAGTTAATATCCAACTTTAATGGATTTCATTAAGCATTTATATGCATACTGAATCACTTGTAAATATTTTTTATATTTATATTAATTAGACTAAAAATTTCCCAGGCTGCCTGAATTTCCTACAAACCTCATTTGTGTGATCGAACATATTGTGCATCCCTGATAAAAAGTATATTTCAATTTATTTTCAAATTTTGCTCAACTTAGGAATTGCTTTTATCTGTATTCCTTAACAAAAATTTAATATGTTTTGTTTGTTTAAAACTTCACATCAATTTTGTTGTTGAAAGTTTGACTTAATTTTTTATCATTTTACTAAAAATATGCTTTAAATAAAATTATTTTTTTAAACAAAAATATAGATTGTCTTAAATTTTTTCATAAAAGTAAACATTGAGATAAGAATACCTGATTGGTAACTAATTTTATGTTAAAAGGACAGACTAAGAGAAGTAGTGTAAGGTTTACTATAAGTTTAGTTTAATTTATTATATTTAAAGCAATATATATTTTAAAGATCTTCTTTATTTTAGCTTTAGAATTCCACAGACATGCAAGGGTCTTTAGTTTTAGATGATGGAACTGTTTATAAAGGGACCATATTTGGTGCTGAAAAGCCTGTTTCTGGAGAAATTGGTAAATTCAAAAAATTATATACCTATATCATGTTGAGTTTGTTTTTATAAAATTAGCTTGCTAATTATTTGTTATACCAAATTATTGTAATGTTTACGATACCAGGGGTCTGTTCAGGCCAAATTTATTACCGTTTAGCGGTACCTTCACAAATTCAACTTTAAGAGAAACAAAATTACTTTTCTTAAACTTTTATTTTTGTATCCCGTAGGAAGCGATAAATCCATATTTATACCATATTTTTGTGTTGGTTTTTTAATTTTCACAAATTATGTCTAAATTTTCACAAATAGGTACCTCTCAGAAAAACCTAGACAGACCCCTGGATAGTAAATCATGTAAGGCTTTGCTGTAAAAGAATAGGTGTTATGTATCTAAATGTGAAAACATTGTAAAATGTACAGCAATGATCTCCCTAAGTGCTTTTTTTTGCCCTTTGATCCCAATTAATGCACCCTTTTGCCCTTTTTGTAATAGTAAGCTGGCATCCCTTAAAAACACTGCCTTTTTATTCATATTCTGTTTTGAAACAATTTATTTGTTGTTTTTAATTAATAATTATACATTAGTAAAACTACCTGTGTTTATAGGTTTGATTCTGATTACTATTACAAATATTTAGTTAGGATTATTCTCAACTGGTTAAACTTTTATAAGAATCTTTTTTTTTGGAAGGGGGGAGATATTAATTTTTTAAGNTTTTTTTTTTTTTTTTTTTTTTTTTTTTTTTTTTTTTTTTTTTTTTTTTTTTTTTTTTGCTAGTTTTTCTGCTAGCTTTTTGAAAAATATATAGGCAGAAAAATCGACTTTTAGCATTTGTTTAATTATTTTTATAAACTACAAATTTTCCCCTTATTTTGATAATGAAAGAGAATTACCATTTGAAATATACTCATAAAATAGAATGATTGGATAACTTAAAAATTATTGAACATAAAATTCAGTTGTTACATAATATTCAGTTATTATACATTTGGATAAATATTTACAATGTTGAGTACCCTTTCGAAACTCAAAGTGCCCTTTTCAGAGAGTAAAGCGCCCTGCCCTTTTTTTTTATTCGTTGCGAGAACTCTGTGTATAGTTGGTAACATCACAAAATGGGATTTTAAGAATGTTCATTCGTAATTAAAGAAGAATGACAGAAAAACAAAGTATATAATATTTTTCTAAATGAAAATTTTGCAGCTTTTTGAATGCAATCAATAATATATGCTTTATGAATTTAAAAAATAATGTCTGTAATTAAATATAAACTATTGCTAGTTTTAAACTTATTTTTATGCAAAAATTATATATATTTTTTATTCTGAGCTAGTTATCTTGCATTTTTAATTCTTAAATAAATCTTTGAACTACATATGTTTTAAGCCTGTTTTGTCTAAAAAAAAAAGGGTTTCTTTAAAAAAATATCCAAAAGGTAAAAGATTTGAACTTTTATAATTTCAACATTTTGTAATTTTATTTTTACAATTACTGAATTTTGCAGTTTTATTACTGTAATTTCTATATTTTTTTCTTTTGCTCGAATAATTGAATAAGATAATCAAATAAAGAAAAGTGGATAAATAAGTTAACAAGTATGGTGAGAGTTAAGTGATAACTTCAGTTGTGCAAGATGTCTGGAAAAAAGAAGAAATAGATTTCCTAACATATGGTTGAAATGATACGAGAAAGGTAATTAGTTATTCAGGTATAAATTTTTAGATGGTGGAATGAAATGATGATTAACCACAGAACTGATTTCTTTTTCAAACTATGAATTTATTCATAGAAATTAAGATTAGTGGTTGCAGGGCAGTGATGAATGATTTTGGCAAGCAAAAACTCAATCCTATGATTAAGAATTTCAGTTCTGCAGGGTGATGGAAAACCATTTAATATGGCAATTTTGAAAAAAAAAATTTTATAAATTTTTATATTTCTGACAGATTACAGCTCCAATTTAAAATTTTTTGCATTTTTTGTGGAAAAATATAATATTAAAGGTCTAAAATATTTAAATTTAAGTTATTTCTTTTTAATAACTTGTAATTAGAAAGATATATATATAAATATTGTGTATTTCATTTCTCTTAAATTATATTTTTTTTAGTTTATTTAATGTTTAATTATAATTGTAGTTTTGTTAAAGTTAGCAACAGTAAATTATTTTGGAGTCCAATGATGGTAATTAGCTCATAATCTGGCTCAGTAATTTCCATAAACAAATCGTTTCTTTATTTTTGAGCTTTAATTCCAACATAAAGATAGGAAAATGATCGAACACAAATTGAAAAGTAATAGTAACCGAATACACTTAAAAATACATTCAAAATAGAAGTGAAAATATTAGAATTGCCTAACACCCGATTGTGACTAGTTAAACTACCAATTAAAATCTCTACACAAAAATTACTATAAAAAATATCCGAAATAAAATTTTTGGAAAAAAGATTATGTCCAAAAGGAAAGAAAAACTTAGTGAATGTAAAAGAAACAAAAGGTAATTTGCAACTTAACCAAACTTGCACTTCAGATTTTAAATTTGGAAAAATTGCTAGGTCAGTTAAATTTTAAAAATTAAAGACTGAATTTAAATTTTAAAACTTAATTTAACTATGAAAATTAATGATGGGATTGCCTTGCTTATGAATCAATTTATACTTCGTGAATATTTAGGGAGCACAGTCTAATTTTTGAAAGAATTGTGAATACATTTTATTCTTTTATGAAGCACAATGTTTCAAAGTTTAATGGAATAAATTTTATGGACGAAATTGGATGTTAATCTGAAAGTTAACAATTATATTTTTAAATTTTTTCAGTATTCCAGACAGGAATGGTTGGATACCCAGAATCTTTGACAGATCCTTCCTATCATGCACAAATTTTAGTCTTGACTTATCCTTTGATTGGAAATTATGGTATTGGACCAGAAGAAAGAGATGAACATGGTATATTGAAATGGTTTGAATCAGAGAAAGTTTGGGCTGCTGGATTAGTTGTTGGAGAATTGAGTGAAAAACACAGTCACTGGAGTGCTTCAGAATCTTTAAATGATTGGTTGAAAAGAAATGGTGTACCAGGAATTCAAGGTATTAGTTTATTACATTGATGATTTAAACTATTATTTTTCATTTTGAAATCATAAAAGTCTATATTTTCACTAATGATGTTGCCAAAACATAAAATTTTCTGTTTATGACATCTGCACTGCAATGCAAGATTGTTAATCTGTTGATAGTTTTTGAAGATTAAAGAATGCATATCTTTAAACAACTAAACTTATAAAGAAATTTTTTTTTTGTTGTTGATTCATACTGATGCAATCTATTAAATTGGTTTTTAATTGTGTAGGGTCTAACCTACCATAACAAAGTATCCATAGGTCAAGTAAAGGAAATAGTTCATAAAAATAACAAGTTTTTTATTTAAATGAAAAATAATAACGAAATACAATAAGCACGAGAGCTTATGGAAAATTAATACAAAGTGAGCTGGGGGAACGGAGCTGCCGCTACTGGCGAAACTCAAACTTGCCAACAAATTGCAATATGAAAGAGAAATAAATTTTTAGTTTTAATTTTCATTACACATGAATACCTACTGTGAATCTTCTTATTTTGTCTATTTAGTTTATAACTTAATATCAATTTTTGAAAATGAATAATTTTTGAAAATGAATAATTTTGAAGGCTATTCTAATATTTTTTTTTTTTATATATTTCATTAAAAAGTATATCCCCACAAAATGAAACATAATAAGTTTTCAAAGAATTTCAACTAGTAAGGAATTACTATTTTTAAAAGAATATATCAATAATTTATTATTCTTAGAATATATTCTTAAAGGAATGTAGAATGTATTCTTAATATATATTCTTAGACTATATTCTTAAAAGTATTATTAAAGATCAACTTGAAAATAATTTAACTATAATAAAATGGCTTCCAATATTATAAATCATTACAAAAGTAGGGCTGCTTCTATACTATAAACAATGTTCTTCATGTATCAGCCTGTGAATAATTCTGGTTCTATCTAGTTTGTGATACATCATTCAAAAATAAGAAAAGGGTTCTCTAGAACAAAAAGCAGCAGTTAATATTTTTTCAAAGAAAAAAAAAACAATGCTTGGAAAGCACAGTGTTAGAAACTTGTGGTGAAGCATGGCTGAGTGGTGAAACATGTCTGAGATAATTTAAATACAATACTTAGTTTAGTTATTATGCACAGGAGGTAGGTCTGGCAACTTCAGCATCAGAATTTTCTCTGTCAATTCCACATCTTGACTAGAGATTGAGGTGGTCAGGGACTTATCTGTCTGTTTTCTGAAATTCTGAATAAAAATTTCTTATATTTTTAAATTACATTTTGTTCATTATTTTTAGAAATTTTTATTTGATTTTATTTAGTATTTATCTTTTTTAATATTTATATTGTAAGTTGTGCCATGTTGTCAGCTGCGTTCTAAAATAATGATTGAAAAATTTTAGGTATTGATACACGTGACTTAACTAAGAGAATACGCAGTAAGAAAAATGGATGCTTAGGGAAGGTATTTGTTATTTGGTTATTTAAAATTACTCTTGTTAATTCTATTTAAATAAAATTTTTATTGTTATTGGTTTTTACTTTTACACGAAAAGAGGATGGATTTTCTTTTAATAACTAAGCAATAAAATGGCAAAGAAATTTATACTTTGTTAAGAAATGACTAATTTAATGTGATTTAAAATATGATTTCTGAGTCACAAATAATATTAATTAGTAATATTTTATTTCATTCATTATTTGAGTAATGAATAAACTCAATATTGACAAGATCTTATTTTGTATTAAAAAAAACTTTATATTTTTTAACAGTCAAATTTTGGTTATTGCATTTAAATAACTAGTTTAGTGTAGGCATTTTAATAGGAATTAAAATAGTATTCTCTATAAAATAGCAAACCGCACTTTATGTATTGGTTATTATAATAAGGAGTCACATTCCCCCTAAAATTCCTAAAACTTTTCAGAATCTTTAAAATTTTTAAAAATGCTCTAAAATTTTGCTGGTGTTCTTAAAAAACAGAAATTTTACATAAAATAACTTAAATCTCCCTATCTTTTAATGCACTTTATTATTGTTTTTTTAAAATACACTGAGAATAAATACCTAACATAAATACCTGCATTCTGTTTCCGAGAAACGGAATTGAGTATTTTTTTCTTTCTTTCTTTTTTCGTTTTACTTTAATTGATTTTTCAAATCGTTGATAGTTTTTAGGATGCTTTATAATTNAATAACTTAAATCTCCCTATCTTTTAATGAACTTTATTATTGTTTTTTAAAATACACTGAGAATAAATACCTAACATAAATACCTGCATTCTGTTTCCAAGAAACGGAATTGAGTATTTTTTTCTTTCTTTCTTTTTTCGTTTTACTTTAATTGATTTTTCAAATCGTTGATAGTTTTTAGGATGCTTGATAATTGTAAGTAAAGTTACAATTTTACTAACAGAAATATAATTTTTATGGATGTGTAAAAAAATTTTATAGTTTGACTAAATTTAATTTAGATAACATTTTTTAAAATTTTTTTATTTCAGATTATTTTAGATGATAAGCCATTTGATTTCGTTGATCCAAATACCAGAAATCTGGTTGCAGAAGTATCAATTAAGGTTAGTTTAAAAGTTTTTTTTTTAATTATATGTTTTTCAAAGATAACAATTTTTTTAACAACATATTAAAATATTGAAATATTTCAGCAACCAAAAATATATAACCCTGGTGGATCACCAAAAGTACTCTTTGTTGACTGTGGGATGAAAAATAATCAGTTGCGATGTTTATTACAAAGGGGTGCTGCTGTTCAAGTTGTACCATGGGATCATCCTCTGCAACTTGACAGTGAGTATTTTAACATAATACTAATTATAATTGGACAATATCATAATTTTAATTAAATAATTGTGCCAATTTAATGGAATTTAATTTTATGAAGAGCTTATAAATATTTTTCTTTTATTAAAATACTATTTTGCTAGTTTTTATCGCTAACAATTAAATGTTATTTTTATTAGCTATTAAGAAAATATTTTCATTGAAAAATTTTTAAAAAAATTTGTTCTTTTTTACAAGCAATATTGACTGTATATATATTATTCTTAACTTATTTTAGATTATTATTAATGTATATATTATTGCAATATTTTTAATATAACTGTTCTAGTTTTTATTGCATTTGTTATTCTTTAGATTGTAGTTAGAATTTTTTTCTTACTCTGCTAAATATATTTAAAATTCTAATTTAATGCCATGTTAGTGCTAACTATACCAATGTTATGTTTTTTCTTTATGTTTAAAGTAGTTTTTTTTTCCTTCGTTAAAGAAAATTACTGTAAGTTGTTTTTGTTTTTCCAGAGAATTAGTTTTATTTGAGGATTTTTTTAATTATCACTAACTTAGAATTTTTTTTACTTGTGGCTTGTAGAATTACTTATATAACTGACTTAAGCATACTAAACGTAAACCAAGTGTTAGTATTTTTATTAATAAAGTTAATTAAAAAAGATGCGCAAATATCTTATTTGAAATAGCTGCCTTAGCTATTCAATATATAGAGAATTTAGTCTTACATATTTCCTAGTTTCAAAATATTCCCTGTAGAATCTTTTTGTTATAAGATATTTATCTTTTAACAAATTCATTGTTATTGCAAATTAATTTCAATGAATAATTTTTTGTTCATGGAAGATATATTTTAAGTATATTTTATCATTTAAGATTTTGATGGTTTGTTTCTGAGCAATGGTCCTGGAGATCCTAGTATGTGCAACTCAACTGTCCAGAACATCAAGAAATTGCTTATTCCTGGGAGTAAACCAATATTTGGCATTTGCTTAGGACATCAACTTTTATCCATTGCAGCTGGTGCCAAAACTTATAAGCTGGAGTATGTTATTATTATTATTTTTAATCTATAGTAGTAGTGGTTCCTAAAAGGTGTTCCACAGAATCCCAGGGTTCTGTGGAAGGATGACAAGGGTTCCGAAAATTTTTATTTTTCATTTCATGTCTTGGTTATTTTTTTAATGAAGATTTTTAATTAAGTAACAGTAAAAAAAAATTAAAATTTAAAAAAAAAAAACATTTTTCTAATAACGAAAAAATTATGAGACATACCTTTATAAGAAATTATATTAGTGTTTTCCATTGAATTTTTTAATTTAAAACAAATTGACAAAATATAATAATATAATAAAAATTATTTTACCCAGGCAATTATATTCTCAATGTTTATTACAGTTCAATTTCATTTTAACAAAAACCATGAGTCAGCTTTATTCGTTTTTAGCTTATGCATAGACTAGATGCCGCTCCTGGCCTGCAACATCAACTGTCTGATATAAAACTCACTTTCAAGTCAGATATTAATTTCTCTCTTCACATTAAATGTTTCTTAAAATATGTAATATGTATTGTTCAGATGCTGACAGCAAGGAATTTTATTTATTTAGTTACAGTTGTTACTGAAGAAGGTTAGTCCTTTAGGGTTTCATGGTAAAAAAAATGGGAACTAATGATCTATAGTGTCAAAATACAGAATGGAAAATGGAAATTCTTTTGATTCTGAGTTTCTGCACTTTACAAGGTGTTTTATGGTACCAAAAATGTGTGTCTGTTTATTTAAAATTATTTATGTTTGTTTTTTCAAATTTGTTTAGTTTTATTCACAGTTAAATTTGTCTACCATTTAAAATTTTGTTATGTGATTTAATATTAATCTGTTTATTACTTGCAGGTATGGTAATAGAGGCCATAATCAACCTTGTATTTTGCTGGACACTAAACGTTGTTGCATAACTTCTCAAAATCATGGATTTGCAGTTGATGCTAGTTCATTGACACAAGATTGGCTTCCTTTATTTACAAATGCAAATGATAAAACAAATGAAGGAGTTTATCATAAAAAATTACCATTTTTTAGGTTTGTATTTACAGGTGCAAATTTTAGTTATTGAATTATGATTACTGATATTGACTTCATTTTATTTTATTCACCATTTAGTTTTACTAGTATGAATTTTATTTATTTAATGTCAGCATATCTTTCAAATTGTTTCTTTGTTATTAATGTTATTTGTTATTATAAAGTCATTTAAATTGACTATTGAATTATTTGACTTGCTCTAAATCAGAAATGACTTTTTTTTATTAGAAGCAGATTTTTACATCCAAATATTAGAATTTATTAATCAAAATATCTGCTCTCAACATTAAGCAAATTTTCTCTTAATTTGCAATTTAGTTTGGGTTCTCTCACAGCCAATCATCACACTTACTTACATCTTAAGAAAAGGTCAGTCTCACCTATGACATGAAGTTCTATAGTTCAGGGACACTAACTTTCTGCCCTGCATCCTGGAAAATGATTTAATGGTGTGCCTAAAATTGTACTTGTCCCTGAATCTGCCTTTGACCGTTTCTGGTGTTAAAAAATGTCTTCAGTGAATGTAATTGAATGAAAGTAATTTAAATTGAACTCTTGCATGCTGCCTAGTGGCATGCATGCTATAGGTTCACAATCTCTACTTTAAATAATTCAGCAGTACACATTTGTTTTGCCATAACATTTGTCAACCAGCCATGATGAAATAAAGTACATATTAATGGAGCAATTCAGCAAGCCAAGCTTTGAGGAATCGAATACATTTGAACACAACTTTGAAACAATTGTTCAATGTTTAATAATTGTTTTTAAAATTTCTATTATTATTTGTATGTATGCATGCTGTGAAAAAAGCAATCAAATTATGGTTATTAAGTATGCTAGTGCCTATAAATACTATTATTTAATGACTATGTTTGTTACTTTATTACTTTCCAACCATATTTATTAACCCATTCAGCTTTGCATCCTCTTTTAGAAATCCAACTATACGTTTTATTTTTCTAAAAGCCATACTTACGTTTTGGAATAACCTTCCAAACTAAAAGTGGCTGATACTTGTTTAAAAGAGCTGCGGAAATGTTCATTGCTATTACTAAGGGTTAAAAATCAGTGATCAAACTATGCCTATTCATAATACATTTTGGTCTAGTTTACAGGAAAGGAGATTTCCAATCAAGGTGCTATTACACTGATTTAGGCAACTAGTCATGCTCTGTAACTCCGAACCAGTTAAAAAAATGATATCTTTTATTTCTTAGAAAGGCACACATTTGGGTTTAAAAATTTTCTCTTGTTTTATAATTTTTCTAGTTGACATTAATTATTAAAATTTTTTTTGTAGTGTGCAATTTCATCCGGAGCATTGTGCTGGTCCTCAAGATTTAGAGTTTTTATTTGACCTCTTTGTTGATCTTATGCTAGATCATAAAAGAAATGTGAAAGGGTTGGTATTTTTTGTGTTTTCCATTTATATATATGTAAGATTGCATGATCATAATTTGTATAATTGTTATAGTTTATGCTGTTAATTTTTTAGTTCAAATAAAAAAATTGTAAAATTGTAAATTCATTGTTTTTTTGTTGTTGTGGAATTTATCTCATTGATTAAATTTAATTCCAGACTAAGAATAGACGACAGAATTAAAATGTTCTATCAGAATCAGACCATGCTGATGGAAGAATATGATCCCTTTATATGCGAAGCAAAGCAGGGTGATTTTAAAAGTCCTGGTAAAAGGAAGAAAGTGATTATTCTTGGATCAGGTGGTCTCTCAATTGGGCAAGCTGGAGAATTCGATTATTCAGGCTCACAGGTTCGTTTTTCTTCTTTGTTAAATTCACTATTCATATTAAAGAGCCTTACAGGGTATCCGTGCACCTGGAAAGTCAAGAAAAGTCATGAATTTTGGTATTGAACAAAATTTGTCATGAAATGTCATCATTTGAACTATTTTTTTTAAAAAAAAATCTTGGATTTAGGTCACTGAAAAATCATGGAAATAGGTCACCGAATTTTCAGAATGGATTTTACCCCTCCCCCTAATTTCATGGTGTTCTGAATATCTGAATTTGTAACAAAATCCCCACTCACAGTCATGTTTTATTAAAATATAAAATGTTTTTGTCATGTACTTAAAAAATTATGGTGTTCTTTCAAAGAATGAAAGAAAAAACATCATTTCTGGAGTGAACTTTTAAACTTCTGTGATTTCAGAATTTTTTTTATTTTATCAATTTGAAATTCTAGCTGAAGCAAGCCAGTCATTGGCGAATGTTTTTTTAATTCCAAAATGAGAACATAAAAATTGTGAGTATTTCTTTCCTTTCCAATGAACAAGAAAAGTATCTTTAGATTATAATTCTGCAGAAAAAAAGGAAAAAAAATTATTTGCTTTTGTATTTTTTTCAGCTATTTTATTGTTTCTACACTTTTTTTCCTCTGTTTTTTTTAAATTGAAAATCTGTAATTATAAAGATGCAGAGTATAACTGTTTTGGTTACATCTATCATTTCAATTAATGTTATTATAATGCTTTTTAAATTTATTGTTCTGTTTTTGTCGGGAGAAAATAGTAACTTCGTGAAGTCATGAAAAGTTCTTGGAATTAGTCGTGGAAAGTCATCAATTTGAAAATCTAAAATATAACAGATACCTTGACCATATCTTTCTTTAACGTGAGGTTCTGTGATTGCTTTGAATTGATTGGTCATACTGAACCACATATGTGCTATTGTCTGTTATTCAATTTAACATAAGAAAGCTAAGTATCTCCTGAGTAAAATAATGATAGAAATTAGTTGACTTTGACTTCTTTTTTATTTTTAACATTTATAAATAATTTTAACTCTGAAAATCTGCATAATAAAACATTCTATTATAATGAGCTAGAAGTTAAAGAAAAATATTTAAATTAATTGAAGAGTGAAATAAATTTGTTTTCCACCTTATGGGTATGGTTAACAAATTTATAATAATATTTGTAATAAATGATATGTTTAAATTGTTGATTTCTTGGATGTATTCATCTATTCATTCAGAGTAATTGAAGTTGTAAAATTATCTTTTCAACAAAGGTTAGTTAAATGTTTTCAAAAATAGTGAATGCATTTTAAAAGTAAATTAATCAAAATTATTAAGCTTAAAATATTGTATAAGATTATAAAAGTTTTGAAATAGTATTTAATTTAAAATGTTGATTAATTGATAAAACTTTTTAAAAAAATTATAGTTATTTATTATAACGTTTGGTTTAACATAACTTAATTTCTAATGGAATCAAACTTTAAATTATTTTTATTACATTTCATTATCAATTAAAACAGAATCAAAAATAAATTGCAATCGTAAGAATATATTTATTAAATATAATATCTATGTATTATCATATATCACCCTTTTTTTTAAATACTAATACTGTTTAAAAATAATGTCAATTGAACTAAATTTTTTTTTCTTATGGAAAGAATCATGTGATTTAAATGATACCTGTCCTGTCAGTATGGAATCAGTATATTTTTGGAGATGAAATATGACTTAATACTTTACCTATGTTATAGAGATTTTCAGAATATAGTAATGCTTTCTAATTTTTTTAAAAAAAAGAAAAATTATAATTAGGCTTAAAAATACTCTTATGCTGAGGACAAGCAAAAAAAAATTCCTAGTAACACAAGCCAAATAACTTGATAGCTAATAAAAAAATCTCTTGAATAAATTCAACAAAGCTGCTTTGTAGATTCAATTTTTTGATAAATGACCTGTGGGTTATCTTGATGATCCTTAAGTCACTGTCCTGTCTTCTTAGCTTAATTATGTTAAAAATAAAGGGCTTATATATATATATATATATAAAAGGATTGAAAATAAAGGGCTAATATTGCATCACAAACCAAATATGTGTCGCTCTAGACAACTAATAAGAGCCAGGAAAAAGGTGTCTGTTCCAATTATTCAATTGATTAATTATTATTAATAAATAGTGCAACATGTAATGTATGCTGAATTATCTCACCATTTTAATTTATACCTTACTGTTTAATTGAATATGATTAATTTCTTTTATAAAAAAAGGTTTCAAAGTGCTAATTATAGTTTTATGTATGACTGAAATAATGTGGTTTGAAACATTCTTTTTACTGAATTATTTTTCAGGCAATAAAAGCTTTAAAAGAAGAAAATATCTTAAGTGTCCTTATTAATCCAAATATTGCTACTGTTCAAACATCTCCTGGGTTAGCAGATAAAGTCTATTTCCTACCAATTACTAGTCATTATGTTACTGAAGTAAGTGATAGATTATTATTTATTTTTGAAGGTTAAATTTTTAATTCAACAAAATCTAATTTTATTTGCAAAAATAAAATAAAAAGTAATGCTGTTTAGAATGTAGCTAAATATTATGATAATTTAAAAGCTAATTTGCTTGCTTTTAAGTGCATATTCCTTTTCACTCTTAATTGGAGCATAAGGTTTTTATCATGGCTTTCCATCTCACTCTATTTGTTGCCAGATATTTTGCCTGTCTCCATGTCTTTTTCTATATTTTTCAATTCGTTTACAATCGTCCTTCGCCAAGTATTTTTAGGTCTTCCTCTTTTTCTATCGCCCTGAGGGTTCCAATCGGAAACTTAAATTACTTTAAATTTTTCAGGTTTGCATGGAACATGACTAATCTATTTATGTTTTTTAATTTCCTGATCAATCAGTTTAGTTTCGCTTTTTTAAAGTTTTCTGCAATACAAATTTTATGGAACCACTTCATAGGCAGGATTCTTCTTAAACAGTTGTTAATAAAGACATGAAGTTTTTTCTTGTTATTTTTATTGCAGTGCCATGTCTCGAATCCATATAGGACAGATTTAGAAATTTACTTCATCTGACCACTCCCAACATAGATAACAGAAGGCTTAATTATTGCAGGGAAAACTAAAACTTAGAAAACTACTGCTTGAAAAGAAGTCATTTTTAAGCAAAGGGTTTTACACTTTACACGTGGCATTATACCACAAAATTGGATGAAATTTTTTCTGTGGAATTAGGAAATAAAATCTGCAAACTTGATGAGCATGCATAGCTGCCAAGTGTACAGATTTTATCAGAACGGTTCCGATTTTTATGCCTTGTTCCGATAATACGATTTTGGGTCAAAATGTTCCGATTTTTCATCACAGCGTAATTTTTTCTTTTACTCTATAAAGCGATCCATGTCCGATTGGCGAAATCCAATCAAGTCGCGTTATCACTTAGCTACATTCGTATATTTGATGACCTATGTACAGGTCGCTTCACAGACACCAAGAGGAAATTTTAGCTTCCTGACTCTTTGTCTTTTACTTGCAACTGTACCGGTGTTGAATGTTTACTCGGAACGCATTTCTTCGATTTGAGTTTAGCTTTGAATGTTTTTCCAGGTGGTAATCTGAAAAAATGTCAAAAATTCGGCGAAGTCAGTGTTTTTGCGACAATTATAGTGAAGAATTTGATTTCATCAAAAAATCAAGAAAGGGGACATCATACGCGTTATGTATTGCTTGCAATACAGACATTAGTATAGCACATAGCGGAAAGTGTGATATCATTTCACACGGGAAAACAGCCAAGCATGCTACCTCATATACAAATATGAAAAAGTCGGCAAAAATTTCCGATTTTGTGTCGTCCACTATTGATCTACAATCAATTAGAAGCGAACTATTGTTCACAGGATTTCTTCTTGAACACAATATTCTGTTAGTTGCTGCGGACCATGCATCAAAGTTGTTTTGTGCGATGTTTCCAAAAAATAAGACTGAGTTTAGGGGTAGCATGAATGCGTCTACTTTGCAGGCAATTTTGATTTACCAAGTCCCAAATGATTCAGCCTTGTTATAGACAAGTGTTTCATGAAAAGTTTTTAAAATCAGCCAAATCTGCTACAACTGTAGCACTTAACAAGAATAATTGATTATTTTTTTTATATGTGTTTTATGTCACATATGCTTGAGTAATGATAAAATATTTTGTTTTTAAATATGTTTTAAATTACTAAAATCAGCTATCATTTCTGTTTAATTAGTTTGCTGAATAAGAATAATAATCAGAAATCTTGTCAATTGATATGTATTATAATCAATAATAATTGTTACATTAAATCTTATACAGTTACAATTATGCAAACATTTAGTGTAAAGAAGTAAACTTTAATGTCCCGACCGCATGACGTGTTCCTATTTTTTTCCCTGGCAGGTATGAGCATGTATTGACATCAATTTAAATAAGGGAAAATACTTTAATGTTCAGGGGAAATTTATTTTGTAATATTTCTGCTGATATGTTGAAAAAATTTTTTCTTGTTAATTCTCTTGTACTAGAACTTTAAGTTGCAATGCAAGCAATGAAAAAACATAAATATTATGAATGTGGGGGTGGGGAGGACATGGAGATGGAAACTGGAATTTTATAAAAAGAAGTAAATGTTGTTTCATGGCTAAATTGGCTGAATTTTAAAAAAAATATTTCACAAATTTTCGTCTCTAAACTTTCATTTTTAAGAGAAAACAGTTTTGACTCGTGTCAGTCTTTTAAATGGTATTGCAGTGTAACGTCCCATATTCGGACGTCCCTTTCCCGGAAGGGTCGATTTCCCGGACACATTTTAACAATCAAAATAAACAAACATCTCTCCATCATCCCCTTTCCTTTAAAAAAATAAAAAAAAAAATTTAAAAAAACGAAGTCTTTTGACACATTTTCTCTTTTCCGCATCAAACCCATAAATCACCAGAAAGGGGAAGTGAAGATCTACCAAGACCATTGAGTGACCGTTAGTGACGCTCCTCCCTTGGAATGTAGGAAAAAGAGGGAGATTTGTTTTCAAAAGACCGCAACTGAGTCCCCTCCCCCCCNTCGTTAAATTGTTTTATTATAAAAGGTTTCAAAGTGATAATTATAGTTTTTTGTTATATTGTGTGATTGAAATAATGTGGTTTGAAACATTCTTTTTACTGAATTATTTTTCAGGCAATAAAAGCTTTAAAAGAAGAAAATATCTTAAGTGTCCTTATTAATCCAAATATTGCTACTGTTCAAACTTCTCCTGGGTTAGCGGATAAAGTCTATTTCCTACCAATTACTAGTCATTATGTTACTGAAGTAAGTGATAGATTATTATTTATTTTTAAAGATTAAATTTTTAATTGAAAAAAATCTAATTTTATTTGCAAAAAAAAAAAAAAAAATAATGCTGTTTAGAATGTAGCCAGAGATGCCAACTGCTCCGGACACGCCAAAATACTTTAAAAAACGGTTAATAACTACAACTAAATTTTGCAAATATTTGACTAATTTTGCTTGCTTTTTAGAGTTTAGCGTGACATAACTATAATAAAGTGGTGATTTATATAAACCTACGAATTATTTAGAAATAGTGGTAGATAAAAATCTAATAAATTGAATTTATTCAACCAAGAATCACAATTAATAAACTACCACTTGAAAATATTTATTCGCTGTTCGGGGCAAGTTGGCATCTCTGTATAGCTAAATATTATAATTTAAAAGCTAAATTGCTTGCTTTTACATGCATACATATTTCTTTTCACTCCGAATTGGAGCATAGGGCTTCCGTCATAGCTTTCCATCTCACTTTATTTGTGGCCAGATATTTTGCCTATCACCATGTCTTTCCTATTTTTTTCAATTCGTTTACAATCGTCTTGCTCCAAGTATTTTTAGATCTTCCTCTTTTTCTATTGCCCTGAGGGTTCCAATCAGAAACTTAAATTACTTTAAATTTTTCAGATTTGCATGGAACATGACTAATCCATTTACATTTATGTTTTTTAATTTCCTGATCAATCAGTTCTGTTTTGCTTTTTTAAAGATTTCTGCGATACAAATTTTAAGGAACCACTTCATAGGCAGGATTCTTCTTAAACAGTTGTTCATAAAGACATGGAGTTTTTTCTTGTTATTTTCATCGCAGTGCCATGTCTCGAATCCATATAGGACAGATTTAGAAATTTACTTCGTCTGACCACTCCCAACATAGATAACAGAAGGCTTGATTATTGCAGGGAAAACTAAAACTTGGAAAACTACTGCTTGAAAAGAAGTCATTTTTAAGCAAAGCGTTTTACACTTTACACATGGCATTATACCACAAAATTAGATGAAAATTTTTTAATGGAATTAGGAAATAAAATCTGCAAACTTGATAAGCATGTATTGACATCAATTTAAATAAGGGAAAATACATTAATGTTCAGAGGAAATTTACTTTGTAATATTTTTGCTGATATGTTGAAAATTTTTTTTCTTGTTAATTCTCTTGTACTAGAACTTTAAGTTGCAATGCAAGCAATGAAAAAGCACAAATATTATGAATGTGGGAAGATAGAAACTGGAATTTTATAAAAAGAAGTACACGTTGTTTTATGGCTAAATTGGCTGAATTAAAAAAAAAATATTTCTCAAATTTTCATCTCTAAACTTTCATTTTTAAGAGAAAACAGTTTTGACTCATGTCAGTCTTTTAAATGGTATTATATACTTTGTGTTGAGCTGTATATTCTAATCTAAAATGGCAGACCAAAAATGGCTTTTATTTTGCTGAAAAAAAAATTATCTTAATTGCGTTGACAGGATTGGAAGCTTTATTTATTTCTGAAATTTGCCTTACAGAACCCTCTTTTCTTATTTTCAAGACAGTTAATTTCTATTTAAGAATCTTTAAAATGAAAACAGAAACTTTAGTTGCACATTTTTCTAGTATTCTCAGTCTAGTATTATTGAAATAGTTTAATATTATTGAGGTGAAAAAATATCTGTATTTGAAATGATCCAATGAAAGTTTTAAGAATTTATTTTACTATTTTGCATCACCGAAGCTTGGGTTTTATTCATATTTTTATTTGTCTATATTTTGTTATTACAATATTTCTAATTCTAAAGAGTATGTATAGTTTTGAAGAAAAGACCTGTTTCTTTCCTATATAATTTCATAGTTTTTATTTATGGAATTCAACGGAGGAAAGATCTATGTTCAGGATGAACATTTTTGACACTCATATATCTAAAAAGTTTAACAATTTCAAGTTTATAATACAGTTATGTTTTTACTTTGTTAACATTTCTTAATGTCTGAATTTTGAATATTTTTGATTTATTTACTATTTTTTTTATTTATCTAAAACAGTGTGGAATTAAGTACTTGTTTAAAACCAATTTCATCTTTTTAATACTTTTAAACTATTTTAGGTTATAAAATCAGAACGACCAGATGGAATTTTGTTGACATTTGGTGGTCAAACGGCTTTAAACTGTGGCATAGAGCTTCAAAGGCTTGGCATTCTAAAAAAGTATAATGTCAAAGTTTTAGGCACTCCTATTTCATCAATTGTCAACACAGAAGATCGAAAATTGTTTAATGAACAGCTTGTTTCTATTGGAGAGAAAGTTATACCTAATGCAGCTTGTACTAATGTTGAAGAGGTATGTTGTCAAAAAAGTTTAATTTTGTATTTTTGTTTAAAAAAAAACAAAAACATTATATTAATCTTTACTTACTTTTGATAACGTTCAATACAAATTGCCAGCTATTGTCGCTTGACAAAAACTCTTTTTTAATAGGCTGTTAAGTCTGCCAAAGAGATTGGCTATCCAGTTCTAATACGGACAGCTTATGCACTTGGAGGTCTTGGCTCTGGCTTTGCACACACAGAAGATAAATTAAGGCAATTAGTGACTCAAGCTCTTGCACGATCTCCTCAAGTTTTGATTGATAAATCTCTTAAAGGTTGGAAAGAAGTAGAGTATGAAGTAGTAAGAGATATGTATGATAACTGTATAACAGTAAGTATCTTTCTTTGCTGTAAAGACAAATCTAAGTAAATAAATAAATATTTATAAATAAAAATATGAAATGTGTAATCGGTTTTGAAAAGAATAGTTCATTCATTTTCCAATGACTATTTATGATTAATGATTTTTTTCTTCATCCTACGCATTACTGCATACTTATACCACACAGTATATGATGTGCATTTTACAAACACAAAAAAGGTCTGAATTATTTTTTTATGGATTTTATAACTGTCGTTGAACAGCCGACACAATTTCTGGGCTTACGACTACTAATGTTACGCTCTGTAGCCTTGTAACTTTTAATACAATTCTGAAGACAAGGAAACTCCAGGATTAAGTATTGGGAGAAATTTGCCTTTGTGGAGGACTTTTTGATAGAACTAACCCTCATTTGCGTTACATTGAGAGGAAAACCTCCCATGGTGAGCCTGACAGTAAGGGGACCCTAACCAATGATCCGTCTACCACTGAGGATATTTTACGTCAGCACTGTGGTCAGTGCAAGCCGGGTGCAGAATTCCAATCGACCAGCTATCTCTGGGATGGAATCCGGTTCACCTCAGTGGAAGTCGAATGCTCTATCCCCTGAGCCATGGATTTAGATGCCAGGAAAAAAACAAGTATTTTAATGGTGTCTGCAGATGCCCTAACATTACATAAGTTGAATTTAGAAATCTGCTGCGCCAAATTTGTGCGGGCATTTTTGAGGTAGTCATGTTCAATTTTAATTCTAAGGTAGAGAGGGATAATATTTTCCAATACCAACTCTGAATCATTCTCTTTCCTGAGTTCCTATTCTATTTTTTTCGAAGATAAAGTCTTAATCTAGCACTAATGATTCTCTCGGCAGTGATTCATTTAGAGATTTACTATATTTTACTTTTACAGTATTTTAGATATTCAGTAATAAAGAAAAGAATAATTCCACAAATCTAAATATATGAAATTTTTCTTTAAATATTAAGTATTACAAAAGGGTAATTTGCACAGCTTTTCCATGTTACTCTGCCATCAGATTCTTAAAAACTCCAATTTTTTTTAAAATTCATAATGTTTTAAGGCTCTTAGAAAGTTTTTTAAAAAGTTTTTTTTTCATTTTTGGTTTTAATTTTCTTCTTAAAATATTCTGTTTTGTTTTTTAAATGTTAAAAAAGTTTAAGATTTTTATACAGTTTTTAATTTTGGTAACCTGAATTTTTTTTTTATCTTTTCTTGATCTAATGGTCAATATCAAATTAAAATATACATGTACACGTTGCATTTTTTTTTTCATTAATGGGTAAAACTGATACACAATGAAAGAAAATATAAATGGTATAATGAAACTAACGAATTAATTTATAATGTTCAATAAATGAAGTTATACAAATAACATGTTGGGTTCTGAATAAAATATTTTAAAATCTAAAAATTTGTCTGTTCTTAAATTACGTAACTACATGCTTATAGACAAGGTAAATAATGAAATAAAAGAATTAATTTTCGTACACGTGAAATATTGGATTACATCCTGTCACAAGTTAAAGATGATTTGTTTACTGATGATTTGCTAGATGATTTGATAGATGATTTGCTTTTGTGCTTAAAGTAGATATGTAGTAACTTGTTTCAATTTTTCCTCTCTGTTATTTTTAGGTTTGTAACATGGAGAATGTTGATCCTCTTGGTATTCACACTGGTGAATCTATTGTTGTTGCTCCTAGCCAAACATTGACCAATGATGAATACAACAAATTGAGAACTACTGCCATCAAAGTAGTTAGACATTTTGGTATTGTTGGTGAATGCAACATTCAGTACGCTCTCAATCCACACCTTCAGCAGGTAATGTAATTCATTTGGTTTTTTATTTATTATTATTGTTTTTTTTTGTTGCTGATAGCTGAAACTAGTAGTGAACTAGTTCACTACTCTACATCATAAATGTGCTAGTTTTTAAGAAACAATTTTAGGAATGCAAGATTTATACTTATAGAAATAGTCTCTCTTTCTACTGTATATTGCTGAATTTTTTAGTTAACTGCAGGGATAAAGTAATTACTGCTCTTTTTTGAACAGAAATAATAAAAATAAATTAAATTGGAAAATTTTTAAAATTGAAAAGAACTTTTACTTAAAAATTAAATTAACTATTTTATTTGTGAGATTTTTATTAATTATTAAATTGATATAGTGCAATTGTAAAGTTAAAAAAACCTCCATGCTTTTTTTAAAATTTTTTATTTGTGTTTTTTTTATGTTATGTGTAAATATGATATCTAAATTTACAGATGCCTTCAATAAAAGAATAATTGCAAGTCTTAAATTTTTTTCTTCTGTTTAGTATTACATTGTTGAAGTTAATGCTCGTTTGTCACGAAGTTCTGCCTTAGCAAGTAAAGCTACTGGATATCCATTAGCCTTCTTTGCAGCCAAGCTGGCACTTGGAAAATCTTTGCTTGATCTGAAGAATTCTGTAACTTTGACGACTGCTTGCTTTGAGCCAAGTTTGGATTACTGTGTTGTTAAAATTCCTCGCTGGGATTTAGGAAAATTTCCTCATGTTAGCACTAAAGTAAGTATAACGTTTCACTTTTATAGCTTTTATTGAAATTGTAACTTAGTATTATTCATAATTTTAATATAAATCGAAATTTACTAGTATTCTTATCCTGGTACATTTACTGTCTAGGCTTTACTTATTCCAATATTTTTTTTAGAATTGATAAAACTATCTCAAATTAAATTTACATATAATTAATTTATAAAAATTATACATTTTGTTTAACATTAAACAAATCTATATGCTATCTGTGTGAGGTTTATATTATGCTTTTTTTATTCATACTTAGGAAATATGTTCTCTTTCATCTGAATATTGCTCCTTGTTTTGAAAATGTCAGTAATGAAATTCTTTCAGAAAGGCTAATGATAAACATTTTATACAATATAAAACTTTTATGTGTAGTGTAAATTGTATTATTTGCATCCAAAAATGGTATGGTTTTATATAAATAACTATTTGTATCTATGTTTAAACAAGAATTTGTTTATTTAAACTTAACAAGATAATTGTATTTATTCTTACAGTTACAATAAAACTTCAGTATTTTGGAAAATAATTTTTTGTTACTTCAGTCAATAGAAAGAAGTATCCTCTAGATATCAGCTTAATCTTGTTTATTTAAGCATGCCTTACCTTGTTGTAAAATTAATAATTTATTTTCCATTGCATGTTGAGCACATAAATTATATTCTCAGCATTAAGTTGGAACTAATAATCTTAGTAGTGTGCTTGTCTGGTCTTTATTGTTATAAATAAATTGTCTTTAACATCTTTTTAATTATTATTTTATAGATTGGTAGTTCAATGAAAAGTGTTGGAGAAGTTATGGCTATTGGTCGTAAATTTGAAGAAGCTTTCCAAAAAGCGTTAAGAATGGTTGATGAGAACTTTATTGGCTTTGATCCATACTTTAGAAAAGTCAACGAAGAGGTGAGTTGTTGTAAGATGACAGAAACATTACAAATTCTGCCATTAATAGTTTAATCATATGATATAATTGCTTTTAATAATAAAAGGAATGTAAAACTTTTTTTAACTTGTAAGGATACCTATAAAATCACTTTCTAAATGATTCTGTAAATTTTTTTTTTATATTTTTGAAGTTAAATTGATAGTGATAGCTTAATTTCTTTACCTTTCTTTTTTAGGAATTAGAATATCCTACTGACAAACGTATATTCGTTGTTGCTGCCGCTCTAAAGAATAATTATTCTGTGGAGAGACTTCATGAATTAACTAATATAGATTCTTGGTTTTTATATAAAATGAAAAACATTATTGAATACCAAGTTTATTTGGAAACTCTTGGTGAACAAGTAAGTTTCTTGGATTAAGATTTTTTTCTAGCAATTTTTCATTTATATTTAACACAAATTTCTTCTGAGTAAAGTCATTAGCCTTAATTGAATTATTTCAAACTCTTTCAAAATATTAAAACCCTTTTATTGTTATTATTTATTTGGTATAACTCATTGTTATTAGTGTTTATTTCTTAATACATTTTTATTATCATTTATATATAAAAAATACTTAATTTAATGTTAATTTATTATTATTATAAATTTTTTTTTTTTAGGTTCAAGCAAAAGGTGTGACAGTTGTCACTAGTGATGTGATGTTGAAAGCTAAACAACTAGGCTTTTCTGATAAACATATTGCCATGTGTGTAAAAAGGTATGTGAGGGAAATAATATTTATGTTGCTGCTCATACAACTAATAATTTTAATGCTATATCATATTTAGAAATAGAGAAATAATTCATATTCTAACAACCATTTATTTTAAAAAATTTGTTTTGAGATTTATAGTTTAATTAAACATTTGTATTCTTATTTTTCAAAGAGCTACTAGCAATATAATCAATTCAGTAAATCTTAATTTGTTTTAGAATAATGTGAACTTAAGAAATTTTTTTTCATATTAAAAAAAAAATTAAGAATGTGTAGATAAATATTTTAAATTTGTAGATTTTATTTTTCAACAATATATTGTAAGAATCGTTTTCATGTGAAACCCATCAATGTCAAACAATTTTATTTATCATTAAAAAAAAATTCTGATTTTTTTTTTTTTGTTGACAAACCGTAACCAAAAAGCATTTTGTTGGCTATATTTCGAAAAAGTAAATTTTAGAAATGTGTGGTAAATCTAGATTATGTAAAATCTAAAAAGAAAAGATATTATTCAATTAAGTTGACATTACTGGAGTGCAGGTTATTTACATGAATGACAACTGCAGTTTGAAACAGTTTTTTATGCCAAAACAATTTGTGACTCAAAATAGAAGACCTTGATGTTGAAAATTACTTCCTTAATTAACTTAATTAGAAAAAGGAGCACCATCTGGAGTTACCCAGATTGTTCTCATAAAAAAGACATCGGCTCACAATGGGCTGTTGAGCCGTAAATGATGATGAAAAAAAAATTTTTTTCTTTATTTTTTTTTATATGGTTGAAACTACTTATATAATTTTTTCTATATACATAAACAGTTACATTAGATTTAGAGTTTATGTTTAACTGACTAAGCATTGCAAAAAAAAAAGGGAGAGGAATTTTTTTTTTTGCTATTCAAAAAAGAATGTTGTGCATGGAGTTGAAATTTCTGTACAAACTTGCCTAATGCTAAGCACTCAATCAGTTGAACTTAAATTCTATTTCTTTTAGTATTATGATAATAAACGTTTTAGTCTATAGTTTTTATTATTTGTATACTTATCTGCATTTGTTTTATTTTTTTTAGTTCAGAATATAATATCAGAAAGCACAGAGAGAATGCTTTGAGCATCAAACCTTTTGTGAAACAGATTGATACAGTAGCTGCTGAATGGCCTGCCACTATGAACTATTTATATTTAACGTATAATGGTGAATCTCATGATATTGATTTTCCTGGTGAAAGTATTATGGTTTTGGGATCTGGTGTTTATAGAATCGGTAGCTCTGTAGAGTTTGATTGGTGTGCAGTCAATTGTGTTGAGGAACTGAGAAAGGTAACTCAAATCATTGTAAAAAATATTTATATATTAAAATTATTACACATAGTATTAGTTTCCATACATACAGATGTATATATACACATAGTAATGGTATATTCATCATTAGGGTTCTCACCAGTGATTAAAATTTATCGATCCAATAGGGCCTCCTAGGTATTCATTTAGTGGTCCAAAAAATATAATATGGTAGGCAAACTAGGAGAAAAAAAATTAAACTTTACAATTACATAATTTATGTTATGGTTTATATCAAAAATTATTAATTGCCATTTATAACACCTAAAAACTAATTAGGTTCATTACCTTATAATGATTGAAGATTAATATTTATTTAAATTAAGTGAAAAATTAGCTGAAATAATATTTGTAAATAGATTCAACACAGATACTGACATGCTGAGTTATTTGCAATTATATTTTCAGTATAGTTCAGTTTTTTTAATATAGTTTTAATGCCATATCAAAACATTAATTTTACAATAGCAAGCAGAAAAATGAAAAAAAATGAAATTCGATATTCCATAATAAAAAAACGAAAGCTTACATGTATTCTGAAGTGCAGCTGAAAAAGCGATAGATTTCGAGAAAAGAATCTTGGCAACTATTTTATTTCTCTTGCTAATGCAAACAGCACTAAAGTAAAATCTCACAATACTGATAAAAAAAAATTATTTTTGACGCATTCTAACGCAAGACAGTATTAGAATAAACCATTTTAATCAAACATGTTTTTTTTCTTCCTCTAATCTGTATTTTTTTTATCAAATAGATGAATAAGAAAACAATTATGGTAAACTACAATCCTGAAACTGTGAGTACAGATTATGACAAATGTGATAGACTGTATTTTGATGAAATTTCATTTGAGGTTTGTAAAATTTCTTTGTCTCTAAATAGATTTTTCTTAATAACTATATGTTCATAAAAATTCCAACTATACTCATATGTCTTTATTATATAACTATAATTTCTCTATATTTAAAAAAAATTAGTCCAGTTATTGTGAACTGTTTCATAAAATTTTTGCAGAGTGTGCTTTTCACTTTCATAATCTAAAAACTTTTATTTGTAACAGTATAAGAGTGTGCACATTTTTAAGGATAATTTAATGATTTATATTTTCTGTTTCTAAGAATTTTCAAAATTAATAAAAGAAAACCTCACCAGAGTAAAATTATAATTTTTTGTAGCTAAATATACTTATGATTTAAGATTAAAAAAAAGTACCCCAGTTTCATTAAAAAACAATATTTCAAGACATCTTCAATTATTATTTGTAGAAAAAAAGGAAGCATAATTATCTAAGAAACTAATGTATAAATATAATTAAGAAGTCAGCGTGCCATTGAATCAGATATTTTCATTAATCAAATCAACTAAACTGCCATAGAATTTTGATGAGTGAGTCTCTAATATATTTTTTATTAAATTAATTATGATTGTATTTTAAGAATGTCTAATTGATCTATACACAAACAATCTGGGAAGGGCCAGACCAACTCCTTCAGACTTTCTAGGCATATAGCAATGTTTAGTCTTTCAGCGTTAATGCTCATTTTTTTAAAACAATCAGTATCTTGCATCAAACCTTTCTTTAAAATTAAATTAACATTATTAAATTTTTTAAAACTATTTTTTCACATTCATAATATTTGAATACATTTATTTCAATTTTATTAGGTTGTCATGGATATATATAACTTAGAAAATCCAGAAGGTATAATATTAAGCATGGGTGGACAGTCTCCAAACAACATATCTATGGACTTATCACGTCATAATGTAAGTTGTTACACATATTTTTTTATATAGCTAGCCAAATGTCTTATTACATTTGTATAGGTTGTAATATCTGTCTGTGAATAATTTTTACAGGCTAAAATATTGGGTACGTCTCCAGAGTCCATTGATAATGCTGAAAATCGCTTCAAATTTTCAAGAATGTTAGATCAAATTGGTATATCACAGCCCCAGTGGAGAGAATTGACTACCTTGGAGGTAAAATAAAGCATGAGGAATTATTAAATTTTCATATGTTATTTACAGTGTCTTATATCGGGTATCTTATATATATTTCAGGCTTCCAAGGAATTTTGTGATCAAGTTGGATATCCTTGTCTAGTACGACCTTCATACGTTTTGAGTGGTGCTGCGATGAATGTTGCTTATAGTCATGAAGATTTAGAAACATATCTACATGAGGCTTCTGCTATTGGAACAGCTGTTGTAATATCAAAGTTTGTTACTGATGCCAAAGTAAGATATTTGATGATATTTTTAGGCTTAAATTACATTCATTAAGAGACAAAGAAAATTCTGTGCATGAAAAGTAACACTTTTTATAAGAAATAAAATCGTGCATGTATGCGCCAATAACCAAATCAATAGACAAACCATTTAGTTGAACGCTGGTTTCTTATGACATTTATTTTATTTACAGAACTTGCACCTTTAATCCATCATAAAAATATATGATTAATCTCAAGTGTAATATTTGTGAATTTTTAAAAAGTTTAATTTATTAATTAATAACCCTTTCAACTTAATAACCAAGCAAAGTTTAAACATTTTTTTAACCGAATTCTGAACATTTATTTTAATTGAATTACTAATATTTTATAGATTTCTTCAAAACCTTTAAGAACAGCAGAAAAATAAAATTAGTGAAAAATATACATCACAGTGCTAATAAAAAATTATTTACTGAAATTGTACATTTACACACCTTTGACCAAAAAAAGGTTAAAATATATACATATCAAACAAAAATTGTCTATCTTATTTAAAAAATTGTCCAACAGTGTTTCTTTTCTTGGATGATATTTTCCTTGGGATTGTCCTGGTATTATCTTATTTTTGTTTCAAATATAGGACTGATAAATCACCAACCATAATATTTAAAAAATCATGAAATAAAAAAAATAGAAAACTGATTAAAATAAGATTTTTCAAATTCTATATATTTTTTAACGAATGTTTTTTAAATTCTATTAATAAATAGCGACTAATATTACACTTTTTAAAGCCACTAAATTTCTATTAGACTTTCCAAAAACTCTGGTTACTTCTTTTTGGCTTTCCTGTTATGCAAATTTATAGATTACTTTAGGAAACTTATTGATTATTATTACTTGTAGCAAAAAGCATAAAATTTATTCATGTTTTTATACCTTTTCACCTCAATTCATGTATGTTATATAAATTGCAAATATGTAATTATAAAATATTAATAAATAAGATCCTATTAATATCTACATTTGGTGTGACTTTGTAAAAAACAGTATTAAAGACCTTTTTTAAGCTCTAAAATATGACATTTTTAGATATAATCAATATATTAACTATTTAAAATAAATCAATTTGCAAAAAAACTTTTACTTATGTATGTCCAATCTGGAGATGCCTGGGTAGGTACTGTTTTTAGTTATTTGATTTCCTGACAACCTGTTAAAAACTAATAGAAAATGGGTCTCAAAAACCTTTTTCTTTAAAGATTATGAACTTCATAAAATAAACAAAACTAATTGCCTTAAACCAGAATAATATTTGTTTATATTGATAAAAAGTTGTTAAATATTATAATAAAAACAATCACATAATCATTATCAAGGCTTTTAAACATGCAATTGAGAATATTAGGGCAGGTTTAAAAGGTTAAAACTCGACGAGAAATGATCGAATCAGCAAATGTATAGCGTGCAAGAGAAAATAACTATCAGGAGTTGGCCTCTTTTCTTCACCTTTACTGTTAACCTCATTTACTGTAACTCAATCCTTTACTGTTAACCACATTTATGTAAACAAAGCTGCTTTGTTTTTTTCCAGTAGTTTATAATAGTAGATACATTATAAGTGGGAAAGTAGCTTTCCATCGACATTTAAAAATTAATATAGCTGATGGTGAGTCTACTTCTCATGGCCTTATAAAGGGTTATTAGGGCTTATAAATCATGTGAATTTAATCTCTTAAATTGAAAAAATAATAATTTTGAAGTTTTAGCTCAAAATGCATTTCATTTTGTGGTTAAAAAAAATGATTTGTTTTAATGATGAGGTATTAATTTTTAAAGACTTGGGTCTAATCATGCATTTAATAAAACTATGTTTGAAAACAGGAAATTGATGTTGATGCTGTTGCTGACAATGGGCAGTTAATTTGCATGGCTGTTTCTGAACATGTAGAAAATGCTGGTGTCCATTCTGGAGATGCGACTCTAGTTTGTCCACCTCAGGATCTTAATGAAGAGACTTTAGAAAAGATTAGGGACATCTGTTTTTCTATTGGAAGGGCATTAGAAGCTAATGGACCATACAATATACAATTAATTGCTAAGGTAATACAACCAATTTCCTTTCTATATCTATGATAAATTTGTAAAATGTTTTGAAATGTATTCTCTAACTTTTTATGTGAGTAAAATTTCTTTCAAGCAAGTCTGCATTTAACCATCTCTTTATTAGCTTATTGGATATATCTTTTGCTTACTAGAACTAAATTTAATATGTGAATTCAACAATCTTTATTTTAAGCGTTCTTTTTCTTTTTAAATTTCATCAATTGATCAAAGACTTCAATTAATGTAGTTTTTTATTTTAATTTCAACTCTGACTTGAAAATAGTTTTTACGAATTTCCTTGAAATCTCACTTATTGATATAATATTTAACAATTTATATTAATTTCCAAAATTTTTCATTTCTTTTAAATAAAACAAAATATTTTTGAGCAAGATTTTTTTTCTTTTTTGTAAGATTTTCCAAACATTTGATATTATATACAAAATACTATTGAAATATTGCTACTTTGATAATAATGGGTTGAAAAAGGAAAAATTCTTTGAAATTAAATTGCTATAAATTAATATAAGCTTAAAATAGATTATAGCTGAACTACTATTATAATAATTTGTCCAGAATATCCTGGTACGACTTACATGTTAAGTATTCATCTAAATCTTAAATAATCTACATTATACTATAATAACATTTTTCTTGTAAATTTTACATAAAAAATTTTGTATCTCCCATTTTTACTGTCACTAAATTTAATGTTTTCATTATTTTTAAATCTATGCTGTCTTAGAGTAATTATAGTTAGATATATTTATAAAAATTATGCATTATAGGGTTATTGATTATATTATCTTTTTAATAATAAATACTTCATATAAATATTAAAATAATTTTATTGTGCTAACAATCAAATTAAAAATTATAAGTCTGGTTGCAATGTTTTATTTAAAAATATTTCAGTTTCTTTTGCTACAAGGCGTTAAAATGGTTGAAGTGCGAAATGGTTGAAGTGCTATTTTGTTTCAGAGGGGCGTAAAAAATAGTCAAACAATTATTATTGATAACTATGCTTAAATAATTATGGTAATAGAAGGTACTGCTGTTTTTCTGCTTAATGTTTTTTTTAATCCCCTAAACAGATCAGTATCTGTTCTTTTTTGTCTGACATGCACCTTTTCATACTTTTTAAAAGCTTTTGTTTGAATTCTGAATTAAGTTATATTGATATTTTTATTTCAGGATAATCAACTAAAAGTTATTGAATGCAATCTACGAGTGTCACGGTCATTTCCATTTGTATCAAAGACTTTGAATTGTGATTTTATTGCAAAAGCCACTCAAGTTATTATGGGATTAAAACCTGAACCTTTTATTGGTCTTGCTTGTGATCGTGTGGGTGTTAAAGTAAGTTAGTATTATCACCCAAATTTCAGCTTTGCATGGTGTAAAATTTTTTGAAATTTAGCAGTATATGCATTATGTATACAAAAAATAAATATTAACATTTCTTTGCAACAGGTGCCACAGTTTTCATTTTCACGTCTGGATGGAGCTGATGTAACTTTAGGTGTTGAGATGGCTAGTACTGGAGAAGTAGCATGTTTTGGAAACAATGTCTATGAAGCTTATTTGAAATCTCTTATTAGTACTGGTTTCCACATTCCACGACGATCAGTTTTACTTTCTATTGGCAGTTACAGTGTAATTATAAATTAACCTTTTCATATCTATGACTTAATTAGATTAACTTTATGCTACCAGTTTGATTCAGGTTATTTTATTTTAAAAATTGTTAATTCTACTACCTTTGTATAAATCTACTTTTCAAACCCCAAAATTTTACAAAAACTTGGAAGTTTGGCCGGTTGACTTATACACCAGTTATAAAGTCGATATTCGTAGGTCCTGCAATACTGACACATCATAAACATTGATCAATTAAACCCTTTCAAAAACTATTTTTAATGTGTTATGTTTTATTACTTTTGCATTTTTTCTTGTCATATTTTCTTTAGTTATAAACTTTTTTTTATTTGTTTATTTTTTTTAAGCAATACTTTAAATTATATTAAAAAAAGATTTAAGTCTAAGAAAAGTTAAGATAATTTATTTAAGACTTGAGTATTTCAAAGAATATAAGCAATGAAAACTTTTAAAACACACCATAAAGTTACAAATTTAATGATTCCAGATCATCAACTGTGTCAGATTCAATAATGATTGCAGTGTCGCCAATCCCAATCTGCAATAAAATCAATTTTATTCTGCAAAATTCTTATTCCCACACGAAAAAAAAACTTGTTTACCCCCATCCAAAAAATTTTAAATTACAATCTTTTTAAAAGATTTTGCATTAAGATTTAAATCATCATTTTGCTACATGTCAAATGAGATAAAATAGACTTGATTAACTCGTTGCCTCGCAGCATTTATTAATGCATCTTTAGGGGACAAATGTATCATATCCAGAGGGAACAACGTGAAATATTTTTAACAAAAGAAAGTTAAGTAGACTTTATAATTTTTTTTCATATTTATTAACTTTAGAAATTTTTATATTTTGGTTTTTCATTGGTTGACTTATACATCCAACATACCAGAAATTAGTTATCTCAAAATCAGAATCTCGAAAACAGAAGCTCGACTTATATATCCGTCTGACTTATGCAGTACCTTTTTCATTAATTCCTGTAGGATTATTGTCATGCTATTATGTTAAATTCTCTTTAATTTTTATCTAATAAATATAATCATTAAATGTTTTCTTAGAACAATACTTGTTATTCTTTAAATAAATTCCGACCTCATAATGAATGATAATTAATAAGACATAAATACTCTTAATAACATTTGGGGACTAAGTTTCTCATGATGTGAGATATTTCAGAATAGTTCTTTGAGATTTCTTTTGCCAAATAATTTAAGTTACTCAAATTTTGCTTCATGGACAATAAGCTTGATTTTTATAAATAGTAAAATAATTGTTTTCAACCTTTGAACAGTATTGTTTTACTGACACTCTTTAATAAAAATTTGATTTGGTGGTTTTGTATTTTTCACAGCCTATTTTGAGTAACATTCTTTTTTTAAAATGATCAATCTTATTAAAAAGAACTTATTAAATGAAAAATATATTTTTTTCATCAAACATACATATTTAAAAAGAATCAAATAAATGAATCCAGAATGGACTTTAAAAAATACTGTCTTTTGAAAAAATTGCATGACAGCTTTCATAAATAAAAATAATTGGATTCAATGATCGTCTCTTATCAAAGTCTCTTAATATTCCAAAAAATGCAAAACCTTAGAACCAATAATAATTTTAATTTTCCCTAATAATTTTTAATAATTACAATCCTCCATTATAGCTATTAAGCTTAAAATCACTTCCCTTATAAAGTAAGTGTATCTAATATAGGTAGGAAATGTGCAGATAAATTTTTTTTATTTTTTACTTAATATCTATTTATAATTACCATGCCCCAAATCAAAATTGAGATGTCTGAATAATTTTTGATCAACAATCTTTTGTTTACAATATATATTTGTAATAATATACAACAGTTATTAATGTGCTAACATGGTATTTTAAGGTTGATTCAAAATATGCTGATTGTTTTGTGCAGACAATATTTTAAGTTCAAAACATACTTTCTCTCAATAAACATTTTTTTTCTTCAAAAAAATTAAAATTCCTTAAGCTAAAATTCTCATTGGTAAAGAGGTCAAATATTTAGTCCCTTAATATGATTTAACTTCATTCATATTCTGTTATAGCTTCAGAACTATGTATACAAATTAAATTTTGCACCTAATTTCAAATTTTGATCGTTCTATACAGCATATAACTTTTTAAAATTATTTATCTTTTTAAATTTAATAATGCCAATAAGTTTTTAAATTTCAAGATGCAAATTTTTTTTTAAATAATTTTTAACGAAAATTCAAAAATATATTCAGAATCTTTCAAATAATTTTCGAGAAATAGAAATTAGAAAATAAGACTTGTTTTAAATTTCATTACTCAAACTCTATAGAAGATTTAAAATTTTGGATTTTGTCATTTTAAAAAAAGTTTATGAAAAAATTTGTGTACCTTATATTTAAGAAAATTTCTTTTACCATTATAATAAATAATAAAATTGAACAAAAATTATATTTTGCATGAAATTACTTGCAAAGAAAGGAGTTTTACTATTGAGGGCAAAATTGTTTTGATTTGCATTTTTAGTTCAGGAGATATAACAATACATGCAAAAACTTGAATTAAAATTAGTTGGTCCAGATTTTTAAACCACTCTTCTGACTAAAATATTGAGACCAATAAACAAGGTGATTCTAATAAACCATTAAGAATATTTATCTATGTCTATTCTATCTGTTGTATTATTATATTGTTGATATTAAAACTATGTAAATTCTGTTGAATAAATATACTTTACCTTTATATTTTTCTTTAAATGAAACCTTTGATTTATACTAAAACATTAGTAATCATTTTATTAACTAAAATTTTAGTTTATCTGTCAATTTTATTAAACCTTTTGTCTGTTTTAGCATAAAGAAGAATTACTACCATATGTAAAAATACTTCAGAGTATGTCTCTAAAACTTTATGCTAGCACTGGAACTGCAGACTATTATTCAACTAAAGGAATTTCTGTAAGTTTAACTATTTTTTAATGCTATTATTAATTATGATATATTACAATTTTATAAACAATCGAAGGATATTTTCATGTCAGTTTATTTATTATAGATGCATTGCTATTTTGTTTTATCAATTTTAATCATGGACCTACAAAGTTCTGGTATTTACTGAAAAAATTTTTTTTTTCTCATTTCATTTTTGCTTAGACTTATCTTAAAAACATAAATTTTATTAATCAGTCTTTAAGAATTTTTTTTTAAGTGTTAAAAAAAATATATTAGAAACATTTATTAAGGGCTGGGCTGTAAAAGTTTTTTTTATTTTGTAGAATAATTTTAAAAGTACTTGCCCAACAGGTGGAGTAATTTATAATTTTGAGTCAAATTCCAAAAAGTGTGCTTAAGGTTGCTTAACATATATTACTTGATATTTAATATTGATATTTTAAATTAAAACAAATAAATACCTAACTGTTTTAAATAACATATACTGTTTTAACGGTTATTTATGTACAAAGGAGTATTTTTTAATTTTTGAACAAATACAAGACTTAGAATTATTTTTTTCATGACTAATAATTTACTAAAACTGATGAGTCCATATAAATGTTTCTAAATTTTCTTTCTTGTCAAAGATTGATATATTTATTAAAAAACTGTTTAATGATACAGTTTAGCTTTGAGCTAACTTTATTTTTAAAAAATTTTTCATTTCTCCTAGAAATAAGTTAAAAAACTTCTGATTTTAAGTATATATTTTTTTCTTTTATAGATTGAAGCAGTTGATTGGCCATATGATAACAAAAGAGATTGCAGGAGCAACTCTAAGTGTATCATCGATTATCTTGCTCAAAAGGAATTTGATTTTGTTATCAATCTTCCCATGCACAGTGGTGGATATACTCGTGCATCTCATGGATATCAGACCAGAAGGATGGCTGTGAATTATGCTATTCCGTTAATTACAGATATAAAGTGTGCCAAACTCCTTATTACAGTAAGCAATATTGTATTTAAAGATCTGTATATGTATAATAATTGCTATTTTTTTAACAAAAAAAAATGGAATACAATGAGCGATGAATTGCTTTTTAAACCTTGTTTACATATATTTATACACCAGGTTATACAGGGTGCATAGCATTTTTAAAAAGTGTTTAAAGGTGCTTATTTTCGTTTTGTAAGAGCCCTTAAAGGTGCTTATTTTCGTTTTCAAAAGCCCTTAAAGGTGCTTTTTTCATTGGGTGTTTTTAAAAAGTGCTTAATTTTCCCTTTTCGAAAGTGAGATTTTTTTTCTTTC